GAAAAGTTGATGTCCTACAACCCCCAATGATGCATGTTCTTACTTTCCCTTTGGTTCTCGGGCTCTTCGAGATATGAGCCGACACAGGGGATGGGTCGGATATGGATTGGGGGCGAACAGCCCATTCTTTGCTATTCATTTGCACGGAATTCTCGGTTTCACGGATATAGATGCATCGTTCTAATGGTCGTCTCTTGATAGGGAAGGACCAGGAAAACCGCAGCAAATGCAGTTTAACTCAGTCTTTATGTGCCTATCTCTGCAAAAGAAATCTAGCGGTCCATCAAAATATGCAAGAGCTGGTAAACCCTCGTGGTTGCCGGGTCGCCACCCTACCCCGGCTGGCATACAAATCCCAATACCGTATGCTTCTTGAAAAGGAAGATTGAGAAAGTTTCCCAGACAAGTTTAGCCCACTCCTCTAGCTCGGTGTTGTTAAATATAATACCACCCTGATTTCTAACTGCGGTTCGATGAAAGAGGTTGGTAAAAGGAATAATTAGAGGACGGCCGGCTAGGTTATCGGAAGGGGTAAGCTAGACTCATTCGTCCAGCATAAAATTCTTCGAGCTATGCGGGCGAATGGGTATAGTGCAGTGGTGCGGGGTCCCTATGGACTTAAGATATGCATTTCTCCATGCTGGAGGAGCTGGGGGAGTAAAAGGCATGATGGTGATGCTATTAAAGAAGATATACGATATCTGCAACCAGGTAGTGGGGTGGTGGACAGATCAGGAAGGAGGTGAGAAGGAGGAAGAGGATGGTGATATGAAAGAAAGAAGAAGAAGAATGGAAAATTTGGGGGGAGGAAGGGGTTTATATAGCTGAGGATCTCGGCGTTGCAAGGAGCAGGCATGGACGACATTAACTATACTCCGTCACGCCGAGATACCTAGTTCACTGACTTTAATAATGAGTGAGTGGCAGTCTGTCACTATCTCTGTGAAGGTAAGAGATGTTGCTCAATAGTTGCGGTTACTATCTGCTGCTATCCGCGTAGACTGCAGTGACAGCCTGGATTCACAAACATAGCGGTGACTATAACTGAATATCTTGGGTATCTAGTATAGTAATCTAGCAATCAATCACTATCTATTTCTGCTTTGGGTATCTTTATTTAATAGATATAGTCACGCCTGCTGCTTTCCGGATGTCCAAGATAATAGAGATTCACTAGCCAGACTACCCAGCCGTGACGTAATTGTATAGTATATACAGGGTATAGCTGTGACTAGTGGAGGCATAGGGTATCATTCATCTTCTATATTCACTGGCTGGACTTTAAGTGAAGCACTGTAGGCTGCCGTAGCTATCCATAGAGGGTATCAAAAGGGTATCCACAAGTCTTGTCCATCTGTTAGTGTAGGAGATCTTACCACAAAGAAGCCCTGCTGTCTCAGCTATGTTGTCCACATCTGCAGTCTCTTCCTTGTCTCTGCCACCTTTTGATATCCTGTTGCTGTCTATTGCTGTCTGTTGCTGTTGTTACTGTCTTGTTGATGTCTTGAAGTTGTTAAATTGACGTTGAAAGAGGCTAAGGCTATTTTTAGCTCTTACGTCATCATGCGGCTGAGCTGACTAATTCTCCCGCTATGTTGAGATACTTCGCTCGCCCCGCAAAATTTCTATGACGCAAGAAGTACCAAAACATCGCGAGGGCGCCCGTCGAGTCCCAAAGCGTTTAGCGGCCCCCGAGCTGCGCCTGACGGCGGACTTCCCTTTTGGGCCAATTTCACGTGGTTTCCCGCGACTTCGACTTTCTCGACTTCAACTTTCGCAACTTCGACTTTTCGTCTTCTTCTTCTTTTCTCTCCATCATCTCCAGCTTCATCTTCGGCTTCTGTCATCTTCGTCTCGCGTCTTCGCTGCTGTCAGCCTCTCCCAAGTCTCGCCGACTGACTCGGTTCGCCGGCTGCAGGGTTCGTCTTGAGTCATTAGCCCGGGCGCTGCAGTGCTAGTTACAAGGACGCAAGTCTACCGCGGGCTGTCCAGTTCAAGCGTTGAGCGCAGTTCCCACCAGGGCCTCAGCGAGAGACCAACAGGAAACCCCGATACCTTCCCTACTATATAATTATACCCCCCAGTGAGCAGGATACAGAGCCAATGGCTGAGCCAATGACCTTTGCTGCTCCCTACGGCCGTGCCGACGAGCGCATGGCCGACATGGTAACTCCCGACGGCCATGGATACGCCGAGCCCATGTTCAGCGAGCCGGTGATGGAACCGTGGATGGACGGCGTCCTGGACGAGACGCTGATGATGGCCGCGCCCAGCTCGTGGGACAACTTTGACGCCCTCGACTCGGCTGTCTCGCAGGCCACCGCTACTCCAAACGCCTTTGACTCCATGCTCGCCGACTGCTCTCTCCCGGCTGACAGCCAGGCCAGCAGCGACGGTGACCTTACAGTCTCTCCCGATATGCTGAACATCTCATCAAACCTCGCTTTCCCCGAGAGCGAGATCTCGTCACTCTTGGGCACCGAATTCAGCAACTATTTCAGCACCTTCGACTCAACTACTACCGACAACACTTCTTTCTCGACCCAAACTACTCCGGAGTCCACTGCTGGAGATAACTGTGAGCTCGTCTTTGAGCAAGTTGCATCCGCCTTCAAGGACCTCGCCCGTGCCAGAGCGGCTGCCGATCCACGACCAATCTCTCGCAAGCAGAAGCAGCGAGATGCCTCCATTGCTCTCTACCTGGAGCGTCTACGTGACACGTGCAATGAGGCTGTTGCAGCTCTCAACTCGGGTGCCAATAATACAACCGCTATGGGCCATTCCGCTGCCTGGTTCAACTCTAACCAGGTATCCATGTCCTCCCAGCCCAGCTCTTCCGGCGCCAGCAGTTTCTCCACCAGCTCTCCCTCGGAGGGTTACACGGAATTCCACTCTCAATCTCAATCGACTCGCTCTTCCGTGCCCTCCCAGTCACCCACCTTAGACCAGTCTCGACCTCAGTTCCAACAACCTTCTCCCCCAGCTCCACCCTCTGGAGGGATTGAGCTCGTGATGGACCTCAACATGAACACTGCCACCTCTCTCCCACGGAAACACCGCCCACGGACGGAAACCCAGCGCCAGCGATACCTGGCCGTCCGCAACCAAGGTGCCTGCGAAAAGCACAAGAAGCAGCACAAGAGATGCACTTGCATTGACAAGGAAATCCCACTTGTCTCTACCTCTACCGCCACCACTACTGCCTCATCCTCGCCCCAGGCCGGCGCTGGCGCCAGCAACGGCATCGATGCCACTATCAGCATCCTATCCCATACCAAGGGACGTCACTCTGTCCGCAAGACATCGCCGCTTCGGCGTGTTCCTAGCGTCCGTGGCGCCCGCGATTCCCTCTCGCCAACGTCCGGAGAGGATAACTGGTCAGGACTTGGCCATGACGGCGAAGTCCTGATCAGAAACAACAGGCCAGATGGCATTGCGAAGGGCGAGGCCGGCATGGCCTGCAGCGCGTCATACTTGCTGCAACGGCAAGGCAAACTCGATCAATGCCGCGACAGTGGCCATGATATAGGCAACTCACACGACAAGGGCGTATCTCGCCACAGAGTGGCCTCGGGCGAGCGTGTCTCTACTTTGCCCACGAACACCGGCAACGTAGCATGGTCAGTCATGCCGCAGGCAGTGTTGGACCGCAACATAGGATGGTCAATCACGCCGCAGGCAGTGTTGGACAGCAACGTCAGCGTCCGCTCTCGTACTACTGGCGGCTGCGAGCCCACACGCAATAGAGACACAGGTGGCCATGGCTACTACGCCCGTTGCGCCGACGGCAGCGTCTCCGCTACTATGTGTCTCGGCAACCGAGACCAGGGCCGCCGTGCTATCAGCACTGCCTCATCGCTTGTGTTCCCTGATGGAACTTGGCAATGCCCGCATGGCCAGTCTGCCACGAACAGCCAGAGCCACAGCACCAATATAGGTAGTTCAAGCGACATAGACGGTTCAAGACTAGCGCAGATATCGTCCTATCTGCATCTTCGTGACAAGAAGGAAGACAAACAGAAGCACACATGCTTCCACACATGGAGCAACGGAGATCGCAACTCCTCACTGTCGTCAGCCACGGCAGCTGCAAGTGCTAAAGCACATAATATCAACAACAATTGTTGTACCAACGCAGCAGCCCACCTTCGGCGTACCACAGACCTGGTGTTCTCTACCATCATCAACTCCCAGTCTCTGAAGAACCGCAACGCCATTTGCGACGAATGTTGCGCCGGATCAATGTCCTCAGCTCTTCTTCAACCGTCAGCCTCTAATATATCGTCTGCCTACGCCGGCCTACGATGGTATATACAGGCCCACATCAACGACAGCGTGCGTTCCAGCTTGAAACGTGCCACCCCTCGCCAACTCGAATTCGCCCTTTGGTGCTTCATATGGATAAGTATGCTAGTGCTATCGGCAATTTTCAAGGGTGCTTTGGCTTAATCTTCGAAGAGACTGCAAAAAGTTTTGCATTCGCTGATGGAGCTTGAGACGGTTTCATTGATGTGATAACCTGTTTCGCTCTCAGCTTTTCTTTTGCCATGCTTGTTTTGTTTTCCGCGTGAAGCGTTTGTTCTGTATATCTATTCTGTCTTATTCCTCCTATCTGCTTTCTCTGCCGTTTATTTTGAAACCTCGGGCGCCGTGACTCTGAATCGCTGGCTTTTTTGTTTGATGCTTGCTTAATTACATCCATCCTTCCCCCTTATAGATGCTTAGAGCTATATAATCCGGGAGTCTCACACTGGGATCAAATCAAAAGCACCTTCATCCCTCGTCATTTCTCTCGTCTCTCCATGTGTAGTATATACATTGTAGATTGAACTCATTAATCCATAGGAGGTACCTACCTATGGGCCTAAGGTTCCAAAGGCACCCTCGGGATTAAGTAATTCCTCCCGTCCCTGTTGATCCTCCATGACTTTGATATCTCCAGCTTCCATCCTCCAAGGCTTGCTTGAGCTTTCTGGCCTCCAAGCAACCCGCCTTGCTCCGTGGCGGTTGCGCTGCAGGTATGGCAAGTCTATCGCAAGCCGAACTCTCTGTCATCGCTAAATACCCCCTGGCTGACTCGCTCGACCGTGTTCGTGGCTTGCTCCAAGAGGCCGAACAGCCATCCCTAACATCCTACGACGGCGGCAATGACGAAGAGGACCCCGATGGGCTCCGTCAAGCAGCGGTTTCGAAGCTCCTCGTCGCGCTGATGGGTGAGAAAGCAGCTTTCAACCTGAAGCCTCGAACTAGTAGCAAAAACGTGGCCTCGGAGCTGTCACGGTTATTTACACGCATACAGGAAGGGGATTTCTGCTACGAAGACTACCGCTCGTTAACACAGCTTGCTCTTCAGAAAGCATCGGATTCTGACATCTGGAATGCGGTCCTCGACCTTATCGCTACGATCTCTCCAGCCACTCCCCCGAGCATCCCTCCGTCATTTGATAGCACGCCGTTCAGGTCTACATCGTCGTCGCAGAGAGGGTCAGAGCAGACGCGCCGGCTGGTGGAAGAAAGGCTCTTTGAGGAGATTGAGGACTGTACTCACCGGAATGTTGAGGGTTTCTTTAAAAAATACTTTGAAGGAAAAGACTGGAACACACAGGCAGACAATGCAGCTTGTCGTGCCCTCGGCTCCGGAGACGACAGCAGATGGCCCAGCTTTCCTGATCCCCCAGCAGAGAAAGACGCCCTTGACTGGTGGTTTGGATTCCAGGACGAGTTTCTGTCGGATGCACGAAGCGTCTACTTCACCACGGCGAGCAAGAGCGATCTCACTGGCTCAGACGCGGACCGCCAGATCGATCTCCTCCTCAGGGACCGAAGCGCGGGTGACATCGGTGGGAAGCACAACTGGAAGGATATCCGGGTCGTTGGCGAGCTGAAAAAGTCTGAGGCAGAGATCAGGAGCAAAGGTGCGCTGCTGCAGATGGCGCGGTATATACGGGAGGTCTTCAAAGCCCAGCCGACACGTCGATTCGTCCACGCCTTTGCTGTCTGTGGAACGAAGATGGAGGCGTGGATATGGGATCGCTCAGGTCCTTTCAGCTCGGGCTCTTTTAATGTGCACGAGGACCCGAGGCTCTTTTATCAGATAATCTTGGGCTACGCGATGATGACCGACGAGGAGCTGGGGCTGGACACCTTCATCACACAGGACGGTAGCGGCACCAGCACGATCACTGTTGAGACCGTTAGCGGCGAGGAGACAGTCGTGCAGCTGAACCCGAAGCTGCTCAGCTATCAGAGCGCCATTGTGTGCCGGGGGACAACCTGCTTTCTTGCCAATGTCGATGGCAAGGTGCAAGGCGTGGCCAAGTTCTCGTGGACATCAGACAAGCGGGCAAGCGAAAAGGAGCTTCTCAAACTGGCGCAAGAAAGGGGGGTCAGGGGAGTCGCAGAGGTCGTCGCTTTCCGTGATATCACAGACATTTCCACCCTCCGAGACGGCTTGTCCTTCAAGAAGCGCCATGTCTTTAAAAGCAGCAGCCGCAGAGCCTCCTCCTTCCATCCGTCTCACTCCAACGACCCTCGATCACGGTCGTCCACTCGGCTTCATCCAAGCACCAGCGACAAACAGACCAGCCGAAAACGCAGATCTCCGGATAAAAGCACACAGACGTCGAAACGGTTGCGCGGTCAGCAGGAGAACGAAGTAACGTTCGAGGTCCAGCCAGTAGGGAATCCCAGCCTCTTTGACAAGGATGGTGAAGAGCTCTATGATAACCGGATATTTCGCTGCCTGGTCATCTCGCCGGCTGGCCGGCCGATCTATGAATACCATTCACCTACTGAGCTTTTGAAGTCACTCTGTGACGCGATCAAGGCCCATCGATCCCTTTACACACAGGGAAATATTCTACACCGAGACATTTCTGAGAACAATATCATCATTACGAACCCAGGGACCGCCAACGGCCACTCGGGCATGCTTATCGACCTGGATCTCGCCAAAGAAATCGGTACCCGAAGCGGGGCCCGACGCCAGACCGGCACAATGGAATTCATGGCCATCGAGGTGCTTCGTAATGTTGACCATACATACCGGCACGATCTCGAGTCCTTCTTCTACGTACTTATCTGGCAGTGCGCCCATAACGGGTGGAAACGTTTCAACCGACTGAAGGAAAAGCCGGGGGACAGTTTCCTGAATGAATGGTACACGGGGACCTATATCAAGATTGCTAGCTGTAAGGCGGGTCATATGGGAGCCAAAACTTTTGAGTATCTCCTATGGGAGTTCCCCCCTGAGTTGGAGGCTGTTAAACCGCTGTGCAGGACGCTACGGCAGGTCTTATTTCCTATCCACAATGGTGATATCTTCACTGGGACGCCGATCAAGCCAGATATGCTATATGACGCCATCCTCGATGCGTTTTACAAGGGCATAGAAGATATCAAGGCGGCAGACCAATAGACACCACCCGTGGTGGTGAACGAGCACTTTGGAATCGGACCAAACCTATAGTTACGCTGGGTTGATTCCATCAAACATCCTTCGTCTACAATCCCAGCATGTTTATCTTAGTTCCTACTATAGTTCTTAGAATATATAACAACTATTATTACTATCAAGCTCTTTTTAAGCCTACGATTACTCTATCTACAAGCCTTCTGGTCCTTAGGTACTCAAGAACTAGCCAGGGCTCGAATCTAGTTGCCGTTTGTTACCCCTTAGGACTATCACGGCGTCAAGACCATTACTTAGGAGGCTCCTCTGTCCGTGTAGTTATTGGCGCTGCAAGTTCTGTATGTAACTGCTCTCATCAAGCTCATCACCATCATCACGAATAACACCTACGTTATGTCCAATTGCTCGAACCAATCATTCATACACCCGGCCCGTCGCTGGCTCCGGAACACCGGGCTAGTTGACTATCCACCGCAGCCTACCTAAGGGCGGGAAAACGATCGGATCGCTTTCAACGTCATTATCCTTATATAACTTAGATATCATTATCTAGTCCCTATGGCTTTGTATCCTTAGACCTTTGATTATCAGTATAGATCCGTCCTTTTTTGCTATACACTGCTACACAGCGGCTTCATGGCCGGGCGGATTCTTCTAGGCCTCACCCTCCTAGCCACTTCACTCCCGCTTCTCGCAATGGGGGACGCTGCAGTCGTACCATGCATCTTGTACTCAACTGTACCGGGATACTTCCTGCAAGACGATCCCGCGGTTGACCCAAAAACCTTTGACTATGTATGTACGCCTCGCTCTGTTTCGGCGACATCCTTATAACAATTGTATATAGGCGAAGAAAGGCTTCGGGTTGATCGATCAAGCGTACGATACCGATGAGACCCTGGATGCAGAGCTCAAGAAGCTCCCCTGGCGAAGATTCGAACATAAAGTCCGCTCCTTGAACAAGCATGCGGCTTCAAATGTTCGGTTCGCCGTCCTTTTCCTGGGTAGACATGGCCAGGGATTTCACAATGTCGCTGAAGCGTACTACGGAACCAAAGCCTGGGATGTACGTATATATCCGCTTGCATTTAGCCATCTACTGACAAGTTTATAGGACTACTGGTCTAAATTAGACGGCAACGGAACGATAACTTGGTCTGATGCCCATCTCACTGAAGAAGGTATCAGCCAAGCGAAAGTTGCTCGGGACACCTGGGCTGCTCAGATGAAGAACTCCATCCCTCTCCCAGAGGTGTATTATACCAGTCCGTTGGACCGATGCCTTGCTACTGCAAAGTTCACCTTCAGTGAACTGGAGCTTCCTCCATGCAAGCCGTTTATTCCAACTGTAAAGGAGGTAAGTTGATACGTACTTGTGGTTACGCTATCAGTAACGCGGTTCGGATGCTAAAGAAATTTATAGCTCCTGCGGGAAACACTTGGTGTTCATACGTGTGACAGGCGCAGTTCCAGAGACTATATCCAAAGTACTTACCCAACGTACAAGATAGAGCCTGGATTTACACAACAAGATATGTTGTGGGATCCTGAAGTGCGAGAATCAGACTCTGATCGAGATGCACGTCTGAAGAAGCTGCTTGATGACATCTTCTCCCATGACAAGACCACGTTCATGTCCCTCACTGCCCATGGAGGAGCCATCAGGTCAATCCTTAACGTCATTGGTCATCGCGAATTTGGCTTGCAGACCGGGGCTGTCATTCCCGTTCTCATTCGGATAGAGACTAGCACCGATGCCCCTGAGGAACCAGAGGAGGATTTGACTATCAAGATTCAGGGTCTCAATTAATGGATAGACATAACCCATAGAGCCTTACATTCTTGGCAATTTAAGTTAGGATTTATAGAAAGCCGATGCATATGACAACACCTAATTGACGAATCTATGATGGAACAGTTTATTGCAATGGTAGATCCAGTGCTCTATTTTTACTATGTACAATCCATCGAAGATGGGGAGCTATATACAGACACATTTCTCAAAATGTAGATTCCGGTCGACAGAATCTACGAGAATGGTCATTAAGGGAAGGGGCATTTACAAGTTGGAAGCCATGCCGAGCTCGGTCATGAAGCCAAGAGCAACTTTGGCGTGCTCGAGCATGTGGTCGAAGTCGAGGTATTCAACGGTGTCGTCAGCAGAGTGAATGTGTGGGTTGGAGTCTTCGAAAGCGGTTTCGGCAACCATGGATGCTGGGAAACCGTTGCGGTCAGCAGAGGCGTGGTCAGAGCAGGCATATCCACACTCGGTGTCGACGATTGGGATGGAGGCATACTATATGGTTTGTGATGTTAGAACAGAGAAAATACGAGTAGGTACGAGTTACGCTGGTAGGTTATAGACTTACTTTCTCAACAATCATCTTGCAGAATTGGTTTAGCTCCTGGTTGGTGTTATCGGTAATGAGGCCAAACTGCTCCTGGCCCTGGCCCTTGAAACCAGCAAGATCCTGGTTAAGCATAGCCTTGACCTGACGGCCATCGCTCTTGTACTTGCTGAAGACAGTCTGGGAGCCCAAGAGGCCACCTTCTTCACCCGCATACCAGTGGAACTCGAGGGTGTTGGTGTTGTTAGCGGCGCGGAAGGCCTTGGAGCCCAAAACTCCTCGAAGAGCTTCAAGAACAACAACGGATCCACTTCCGTTGTCATCAGCGCCTGGGGCACGGCCGCCCATAGGATCCTCCTGGTTGATACTATCCTGGTGAGCTCCGACAATAACAGTGGACTCAGATGATCCAGGGACGGTGGCAATGATGTTGAATTGGTTGAATTGGTTCTCGATCTTCTCCACCTTAGCACCCTGGGCACCAGACTCGTCAATGACCTTCTTGACTTGCTCCATCAGCCAGTTGGCAGACTCAACACCGGTCTGAGATTCATAGTAGCGGTTGTTGAACTCAGACATGGCCTGCAGGTCACGCATGAGGTTCTCCTTGGAGAGGTTGGCGATCATGGACGAAACCATGGAGGAGTGGGCAATCTGTTTGGGGTAGTTGGCAGCCACTGGCTTGGACGCGACGAAGTTAGTGCCAATTTCATTGGTGATATCAATGAAGGTTTGTCCAGCCTAGGCACGTTAGCAAGAATAGCTTCCTGTTTTTCGGTTACTAATACAATGGGACAACGTACAGCCCTCATCTTGTGCTTCTGATCCTTGGTAACCCATTGCGTCTTTCCTGGGCCAAGCTCGATCAAGTACTTATCACCCGATGGGCGAACGGGGCCAGCAACAGCGACTGCTGCGAGAGCAGCAACAGCAGCGATAGCAGAGACCTTCATATTGAATTGGATACTAAAAACAACTGAAATAATAAAGATAAAGTATGTATCAAGAACGGTAAGAATTCGTATCCTGCCAGCTGACCGAATAGAAGGAAGGAAAGAGAAAAGAATCTGAAAGGAAGTGGAAAGGTACGAGCTTTAATATGTATCTTTTCCACGGCTTTGAGACGGCTATATTTATACTCAGGGCCATCCCGTGCCTCTACTTACTCACGTTCAGAAGAGAGTAATAAGAAATAAGGCCTAGGAGTGGACTGATGCAGTTGCAATCTGGGGCAGCGGGGCCGAGGAGAGACGCTCCGTTCAGGCACCAGATCGTCCATGTTATAGGAGGATCAACGCCCGTCAGCCACCAGCTAGGAAGGACGTGAAGGAGGAGTTCCATGACCAGGGACACGAGAGCTGTCTGCCAAGAGTGCCATGATAGGATGAAAAGCGGCTGATCATGAGCACTTAAACTCCGTAAATATACAAGGACTTGTATATTTTTCCGCGTCACTTCCGTATGGACAGTGTAACCTAGGGAATACGAGAGGACTGAACACTTCCCCTTGGAGAGTCGAAGGGGGGTATTATTATAAGCACTTTATCTGAGAAGAATGTATAAACCTGTCCTGGGACAATCCCCAGCATCATTTATCTCAAGCGGCTGTCCTTTGGGGTATAAAAGGCCGAAACAGACCGAAGCGCGCTTCAATACTGGGCCTTGCACGGGTTGCGTGCATGAAGCTGATAAGGTCTGGGGTATCGCTGGGGTCCCCGGAATGAAACGTCAGCGAAAAGCTCGTCTCGCCCCATCCGCGCATCCTTGGCCACAAATGAACCTGGTTCTCCCCACCGTGAGGGCCAAACGCCATCACGAGGCAGGCAACAACGCCGTGGTAACTGCAGAGAGTGGTTCGGCAGCAGGATGTGATGGACGGAGATCAACAAGCAGCAGCTCTTCTGGATGGATATAAACAGCTGGCTAGTCTTGACGGTCATTCAGGAACCACCACGGAGCAAGGCGCTGAGTTTGGAAGTGAAACGCCGGCCCGAAGATCGACCATCGCCTGAAAAAGCCGTCGTTAACCCAGCCGTCCTGTGATTTCAAAGAAATATCCTCGCTGCCAACATGTCTTTCAGAGGTATCAACTGCGTCAAGACAGGAGAATCGAAAACCGCAGGATGAAAGAAGAAGAAGAAGAAGAAGAAAAGTTGAAGTTGAAGTTGATAAAAAAAACGCCCACTTCCGAAAAGGGAACGGAATCGGAGTATTTATTTAACCGTGTCTGATTATGTAACACACGCATCAACTCACGTGGAAACCTTAAACGAGAACGCCGAAAAGGGAAATATAAAAGCATCAAAAGAAAGACGATGATAAAGATAAAGACACGAAAAAATGATAGAGAGGAGAGACGAAAAGTTGTAAAGAAAAAGGTCGGCTGGGTTCGATCTTAGTCGTGGTCAGCTATCAACTCGTAGCCGCCTTCATTTGGCAGCACTCGGGCTATCGTGTACATTGCCACCGCGTTGACCACCATCAGGCACATACTGACGGTGCACAGGATCCACGAGTCGTCGAGCTTCCATCCAGGGTAGAAGCGGTCATCGTTGTCAAACAGGTATGACTGTCCATTCATGTCAGCATGCGTCATCTGGGCGTGCTTTGCCCTGAGGGAGGTATAGATAGGCACATATATAGAACAAGTGCGTGGGGGCACAGGGACTCACCACTAGACCCATTCCGCCAGCCTGTACAAGACCAATCAGCACCAGAAACACCGTCAACATCTTCCAGCCAGTTTCTCTCATCTGTTTTCCTCCCGCCAGAATCACGACAAAGGCCACAAAGGTCATTCCCTCGAGGACAACGGCGAACGATATCAGGAACCCAACTGATCGCCACATCGAGCAGAATATCGGGTTGGATATGGTATGGTTGGCGAGGAGGTCGGAGCCAGAGCTGCCGACGCGATTGATGCTGACTCCAAACATGGAGTTGTCTGCTTGACAGTCTTCATACTTGGGGAACTCGTCGCATCCGGGGGACTCGGACGAGCATCGTCTCGTCAGGCCGTATGTGAGGTAGAACTGCTGGCCGGATGGCTGTTGAGGTCCCAGCTGGTATTAGCTACATTGCTCAATATGGATGTAAGAAGTACCAAGGGACGCATTCATCTCACCGTCTCGCTATAGTAACCCAGCCATTTGGGAAGAAAGATTGATACCAGCGTCAACGAAGAAGCTATACATCGTGTTTGTCAACAAACGCCCCCCTTGCCACGCCACAGGTACCGGCGGGAGATAACGCACCGACCAGGAAGAGGAAGAGAGTGAACGAGTAGAGAATGGTCTTTGTAAAGAAGCCCGTGTAGTTTTTTCGCCCTTCCCCGGGCACCAGACGAGAGTCCACGATGGCGGTTGGCTTGATAGATCCTCGAAGCAGCCAACCAACGAACTAGTTAACTAGAAACACAAGCAAGCGACGACCAACCCGGCGTCTTCAACGAGCGTCACTGTCTCGGGGCGTGTGATAGACAAGGCTGAGTCCTGCAAGAGAGTCTCGGGTTCTTCTTCTCTTATTCTGCTACGTTGTTAGGAGGTTTTCTTCCTCGTCCTCCTTTAATGGCATGACGCCAGCCCGCATCATGTGATGCTTATAGTTACTTAGTCGCAGCAGAAAAAACAAGGCAGAAGTGTTTCTTTTGTCCGAGCCTTCACTTGACTCGATCAAGTGGACGTTGGACTCTGCTTGTTCCCTGTCATTAATAACGCTGATATAAACAGTCCAGGGTGCCTGGCGGGTAAGCTTGAGGCCTTTTCTCTATGGGAGCTCAGATGGGTTTGTAAGTAGCTGGCGCATCTACCAAATCTAGCTACGTTGATAATGCCTCGAGCCTCCAACAACCCCTATACAACGCAATATGATCGGTCACATAGAGATAGACACGGCTTGAGCTGGAATAAAGAACTCGTAAAGTAGTTAGTCAACTAGCTAGAGCCTTCCTTTCGCCCATTCAGTCAAAATGAACAAAGAGGCAGGCAAGCAGAAGATAGATAATCGTACATTATGCCTCTACCGCCGCTATCAACACCAGCAGCAACCAAAAACCGCCACACAGCATAGTATTTGCATAACTCTCGTCCTCCCTATACCGGCTTGCCAATTAGTTAAATTAAGCAATATCTGTGTCTGTGTCTGTGTCTGTATGGATCTGCAAGGTACGATGCTGCAAGATAGGAAGAGCAAGAGAGATTAAATGAAGAACGCAGGTAAAGAGAAAAAGCCATTCCATCATGCAGGTAACGGTAACGGTATATGGACATGAAAATGAAGGAAGAGAAGAAAAAGGGAGATCGGGAAAAGATAAAATGGGGGGAGCCAACTCAAGAATGCCAAGTTGACGGTAGGAAGCGAAATGCGAAGAGAGATGTAATTTTCACCCGTTACAGCTGGACGACACCATCTCATAGTGTGTTAACCAGTGTGGATGCTGGGACGGTAGTTTTCTTATTTTTGAAAGCGGCGCTAAAAAAAAAAAAAATGCGCGTTTCTTTTAGAGTGAACTCACGTCGCTAGGAGGCTGAATGGAGATAGGAAACGTAAATATGCGCCACCGGATGATCGGGAGAATAGAGGGAAAACTGAAGGTGGGGAAAGGCTGTAGAAGTGAAGCGAAGTGAAGTCAAAAGAGAAAGAGGAGAGTGAGAAGATAATACGCAGGAACAAGAATATGTGGTGGGTATAGGTAGGTTAGTTATAACCAGCCAGCCTCACTTGGGCTGTGATAACATTGCTCGAAAGTCGTCATTCGTCTTATTCCGTGTCGTCGTGGGTTCGGACTGCTTCTGATTCGATTTCTGGCCGTCGGTATCATCATGATGATTAGTCGTTGAGCCGGGCGGTTTGTCCCTCGACGGAATACCTGATCCGCCGCGCTTGACTCCTAATCCGCCTCTGCGCCCACTGCCAGAAGACTGGTTTGGTCGTCTTATTGGGGCAGAAGGCTGGGTCATCATCTTGCTGCAGCCAGTAGTGCCGCTGCCGGATGTTGTGGCGCTGCTGACTTTACCCTTTTCCTTGCCAATGGGGATCCTGTCAATCTTATGCTCTGCCTTTTGCTGTAACATCTCCTTTACCGAACCGACGTGGATGAATCTCCCGGGAGTAATCTCGTACCCTTCAAGGGCCAGTGAGGCTTTACCTGCATCATTCGTGTCGGCATATTCAACGATAGCACCTTGATGGTCGGGCCGCAGATTGATCTTCACCAGAACACCGTGTGGTTCTGCAAGAGCACGAATTCGGGTATCGTTCACCGTGTCCGGGATGTTCATTAAGCCCAGGGTGCGCAGATGGCGGTCTCCCTTGCCCTTGCTCTGGCCATCGGGTAGTGAGCCCGGTAGGGGTGAGGCGGTGCTGGTCCCGTTACGTTGAGCGTTAGTGGCTGGTGATTCAGACCGTGAGACGATTGTATTTTGATGGCGTTTGGCTCCGGTGTTGGTCGAGAGTCGGACATTTAGCTCCCGGCCCTTGAACGTCTTTTCGTTCATAGCCAGGGCAGCGGTTGATTGATCCTTAGCTGAGGTTAGTATAACTGCTCGATCTAAGCTGAAAAGGGAAAAAGCAGCAGAAAAAAAAGAAAGAAAAACTTGCTATGCAAATAGCTTACCTTTGTAGCAAAGGTGACGAAACCGAAACCTCTCGTGTCTCCATTCACCTTGGTGGGTATCCTAACTGACTCAACGTCTCCATAGGCGGTGAAGAGTTCAACAAGGTCTCCCTCCGTGGTCTTGTAGGGTATGTTACAAACATATATCTCTCGACCTTCCTCGTAAGCGCCAGACCGAGCCTGTCGCTGCGACGGGTCAGAGATTTTGACCACCAATTCTAGACCATCGCCGAGATCTTTCTTGTCAAGCTCAGTGGCGGCGTATGCTGATGAAGAAGAGATGAACTGAACATAGCAGAAGCGGCGGTGGGTATTGAATTTAAGTGATGGGAATCGCACTTCGGCAATTTCTCCATACTAAAAACGGACCCTGACGTTAGTATCATGGAAGACAATCAGGACACCAAGGAAACCGGGGGCAGGGAATACCGAATGAAAGAGCTCACGGATATAGTTTTCATCCGCTGTGGGCGGAAAGTTGGTTACAAAGATTGTAGTATCTGTAACCGGTTCAACGGTTACCTGGTTTCCTTCTAGAATCTTTTGGTTCTTTGTGCCCGCGGCCAGGGCATCTTCATGGGTATCAAACTCGAGCAATGCAGATCCGGAGTCGCCGGGGAGCATCTGAAGGGAATTGAGCTTTCCACACTATATAATTTTATTAGTTCACCTTTATGCTTTTTTTTTTTTTTTTTTTTTATTTCTTTTCTTTGGACTAGAGGGTATTTGGCGGTGGTATCTTACGTCTCGGAAAAACTGCCTAATCTTGACCTGCGGGATATCCTTTGGCAAGTTCTTGACTATGACACTTGCATGCTCTCGGTCTCGGGCGCGTGTTTCTACCGAGGGGATGGCACCACCTTTTGCCCTCTTCGAGACTGTGCCATTCACCTCCGGCTCACCCTCGCGTTTCCTTTTGCCAGCAAGTTGAGTTTCGTCGGGGTAGTGGTATTGCTGCTCCACGGAATCCAGGTGGGCCCCCGCCGAGACCGGAGCGTGTTGAGCAGCATCTTGGACCTGATGGTACTGGTGATTTGCAAGTTGCTGATGGTGATGATACTGTTGCTGCTGCTGCTGTTGTTGCTGCTGTTGCTGTTGCTGCAGGGCCTCTCGTTGCCTGCGTTTTGTCAATGCCTTCATGGCCTTCCGAACATCAATAATGGCAAGTTGAGACTCGTCTGCGTCTTCGTAGTGTTCACAGTGAGAAATGTAGGCATCCATGATCTTCTCCGGCCAGTCTAGATCTGTCCGTTGCAAAGCCTGTTTCAACACTGCAGTAGCGTAGCTTGGGTTCGGCATGCGTCGGGATGCACTCGCCGAAGAATCGCAGGGCATGAACTTGCTCCATGAGAGGAGTTCCCAGGTATAGTACGCCAGCCAGAACTCGAAGCTGTGTCCGTGGCGGGGGATGAGGTGTTTGAATTCCTCGCGTGCGCTGTCCCAGCTTCCGCGCGCACTAAGGTAGCGAATGTAGATGCGTTCTAGGTGGAAGAGCGGGTCGTTGGGGACGGCCTTGTCGGTCTTGTCGCCGAGCTCCTGGACGGATTCGATGGCGGAGCGAATACCGACCTCGGCAACGTCGAGGTCTTCGTCTGTGGATTCTGGTTGGAGTGCCCAGCGGCGAAGGTAGCTGCACCAAGTAGTGTGGACTTTCAAGACCTCATTGATACCTGCGGCGTCGAGCAGACCGGAACGCGTGGCTTTGTGCTTGAGCTCGAGAATCTCGGCAAAGGAGAGGCCAGCCCGTTCAGCGCTGATGAATAGCTGCGACCACAGTGCGCCGGACCAGGGACAGTGTCGGGTTGCACGCTCGATCACCGGGATGGGTGAGACGCCCATGGGCCCGTCCATGGACTCGTCAATGAGGAACATGACGTAGTCTTCCCAGAGAGTAGCGTCTGTGGGGAAACGGAGGACGGCGCGCTGGTAAAGTGAAGTAATTAGCTCAAGACGGAGTGGCTGTAGCTGCTGCTGCTGCTGCTGCTGCTGCTGCTGTCCCTTTCTCCGCTGCGGCTTGGAGAGCTCCCAGTCGAGGTACTCCTGGAAAGTAGTCCACTCGGCATTGGTGTCCTTGAGCTCAATGGTTCTGTGCAAGGCTGCTTCGCGCGTCTCGCGAGCAGCGTACATGGCCTTTGCCTCGGCAGCCTTGCTCCTGGCGTCGACCATGAGGTCCTCGTAGTTGGCGTTGTAGTACTTGGAGACGAAGTTGGAGAAGAGCTGGAAGGTGTCGTCCCAGCCGGCGTGCGGTGTCTGCAGCCTGCTCTCGAAGAGCACACGGAGCTGGGAGACTCGTTCCTGCGAAGGTGAGGCATCGACGTCCTGCATGAGTAGCTCGAGGTAGCGGTTCCAGACGAGATGGCAGTCATTGATGCGCCACTTTGTAGCATCGGCACCGGCCTTCCACACCTCGACGACGGACTGCCAGGTGAAGACCTCGCGGCCGATGATCCTGTCCTCGTCCGACCAGTGGCCGCGGCCGGACCCGTCTCTGTCACCAGCGGAGGCCTTGTAGAGGTAGAGCATCCACTCACCGTATATGACCCAGAGCTTGGTGCTGCCGTATTCCTCTTCGACGGAGCGGCGACAGAGCTCCATGACAGCTATGCGCTCATTGACGGTGCGGGCGAGCAGGCTCTCGTCCTGGATCCACTCGGCCCAGAGATCTTCCCCGATGGCAAACAGGCTGTCGAGCTCTTCTCGAGCAGCCTTGAGGTCCTTGAGCACGTCGAAGCGGTGAGGATCGCCGTGTGAGTCGGGCGAGGCTGGCGGGTAGATGTGGTCGACGAAGCCCTGGTGCAACAGACGGATGAAGTTGACGCGGTCCTCATAGGCGTAGTGGTTCTTCTGGATGTTGCTGTACAACTGGGCGGCCGTCTGCTGGGCCTCTGGACTGAGACAGGTGCTGCTGAAGTCACGTCTGGGCGCATCGGCAACGGGTTCAGCAGCACCGTCGTACCCAGACGGCCGAGGAGTTGGCGTGTTGTGTTGCGCAGCGGCTGGCGGCACGATGGGGAAGGCAGTCGATGGCGACGGTTCTGCTCTCTTGATGTGCGCAGCCTCGACGAGGGCGTCTATTCCAGGCGTAGAGGGAGTCTGCGGGCCCCGGCCGCTGTTTGGGGTGTGTATCTGAGCCTGTGATGCCTGTGATGCTTGCGTCTGTGTCTGTGTCTGTGCCTGTGCCTGTGCCTGGGACTGGGTCTGCCTTGGGCCTGTCCCGTTGCCATGCACGCCTCCACTGCCAGCCCAGGCCGTCTGCGGCGTGTTCCCCCGGTGCGAGCGAGGGCGAGGCGACGGCACAGGAGCAGGCGAGCGGACAGCCTTCTCCTGCCTGCTGGAGTTTGGCGTGATGAGGTCCCTGATATCCATGGCTGCAGAGTCTGCTGTGGTAGCCCGCCGAGCAGCAGCCGTAGAAGCAAGGAGGAAGAGCAGGGAGAGAGAAAAGGAGAAAGAACACGAGCAAGAAGAGGGAGAAGAAGAGAGAGCAGAGGGAGTGGCTGCGAGGTTCTTGTCAGGCTGGCCGAACTGGATGAGTGTCAGTAGCAGCGCTGGAGTTCCATCGCAACCCGGGGGGGGTCCACGCCTTTCCGTGCTCAAGACACAGCGGCGTCTTCAACACCGACCACCACCACGAGGCCCAACTAGATAGGCGTTTACTCGCCTCGAAGACGGCCAGACACACGCAGAGAGAGGGAGAGAGGGAGCTGGTCGAGCAGTTAGTGAAGAAGCGGACCCAACGCAGGAGAGACTCGGACTCACGACGGGGCGAGAGAGAGCGAGAGAAGAGCTGGCGTTCAGAGCGAGCGTCGCATCGTCGGGCAGAAGCAGACGCCTGGGAGGAGCAACGAAGAGGCAGCAAGGAGGGCGATGTCGCTGTCGCTGTCGCTGTCGTCGCTTTGCTTTGCTTTGCTTGACGTTGGGAGGTTTTGAGGTTTTGAGGTCGAAAAGCGAAAGGAAAAAAAAAAGTTGCTTTTCTCTGGCTGCTCACTAAGCAACAACCGCGAACGAGCTGCGGCTTTGAAGGCTTTCTTTCCACGGGCTGGACGGCTGGCCGGAGGGATGGTTGGGCGGCGTCGCTGGTTGATTGTCGATGTCTACGGAGTACGGCTGCTGGAGATGTCTTCTGCGGGCGGCAGGTAAGTGGTCTCGCTGCGTTTGGACTCAGGCTGACCGGGGTTTAGGCAGAGACGGCAGCCAGCATCACAGCAGCCAGCAGGAAGACAGCAGGAAGACGACGACGACGACGACGACGACGAGACGAGAGGTCGATGCTAGATCTACGATGGCAGAGACAGAGGTTGAGGATCTAGACCGCGCTTCGTGCTGAAACCCGTCCTGAGGCGAGGCTGATATCGCAGCGAAAGTGGCCCTTGGTCCGGCTCCCGTCGAGAGGAATTCGGGCGGACTGGGTTACATCATAACATACAGACGAGAACGCGGAGAAGGCTGCTACAGACTACAGACTAGTCACAGACTTACGGAGTGCATGCATGCATGAGACTGACAGGCTGGCGCTCGAACGTGCGAGCTCGTGGGCGCTGGTCTCTTCCCTAACTACCGACCCCCCCCCCCCTAAAGATCAGATCGCATGCTCGTGGCATCCTGTTGGCCTGTCTTCGCAGCGGCATGCAGCTCTGCTCTCCGCGCTGCAGGCATCTGCTTCTTGTCGCCTTTCTTTCCTTTTTCCCGTCCGCCTCCCTTCGCGCTCGCCTTTTGCTGCTTATATATATGTGTTATATTATCGTGGCTGGCGAAAAAGCAAGGGCTGTGGCTGATTATCACCTGATACGCCGCTGACGTCACGATCTCAAGTCAACGAGACGATGGGACGATGAGACGACGGAATGCAGATGAATATTAAGAGTGAAGGAAGACCGCGAGAGCAGTGAGTGGCTTGTGCTTCCCCCCTTTTCCCTTTATGCAGCTAAGCGTGGGTGACAGGCGAGTTTCCCACGTCAACAGCCAGTCTGGTTCTGTACGACAAGATACCCAGGTACAGGATATGTACATATTTAAGGGACGAAAACAGAGACAGGAAAAAGAAATAAGTCGATTAAAAGAAAGGGGAATTAAATAAAGGTATATACAGCATTATCCATGATAAATTCAACTATCCATTTCCCACCAGTCTCTAAAAACTGTGGTGTATATATAGATAAATATGGTCATTTGACTGCCGCAGAGTCGCCCTCAAGGCTCCCAGATTCTCGAATTTGGCCGTCAAGTAACTAGTTTAGGCCTTCTTTGGCTTGAAGAGGAGGGTGAAGAAGCGGATGATGAGTTTGATGAGCCCGCCGACGCTGAAGTGCATGATCAGATCGACGACCTCCTGAGCGAAGCGGGGCCAGTCGGCGCCTTGACCAAGTTTGAGACCACGGCCAATGGCGATGCCTCTGGCAGCAACTGCAACTTCATCTTCATCACGGCCAGCGATGGCGCCGAGGCCGGGGATGAAGAATTTGCCGATACCAACAACAAGCTCCTTGACGACCATCAGGATAAGCGTAGCAGCCCTTCCCCAGTCGGGCTTCTGACCATGCGGGAAACAAGAAACAATTGCGGCAATCAGCTTGGGGATGTCCAACAGACTGCGGGCATGGATCATTTCGTCACGGGCGGCAACGCTGGATCTCTCGGACAGCAGCATGAGCTCATTGCTGACCTCGCCGATATGGCGGGGGTGGACTCCAGCCTGACTGAGGGAGGAGACGACAGCGTTCAGTAGTTCGGCAAGATCGAAGCGACCGTGGCTGAACATTTCAACGATCTTTGCAATGAAGTCTGCGAGGTTGAGACCGGCATGGGCGACGCCGCTGAGGACCTTCAAGATGACTTTGGCAATGCCACCAACACTGGCCATACCGTGGAAGAGGAGACCGTTAAACTCGCCAGTGAGCTCGAAGATAATCTTAAAGATGCCATTGAAGATGCCCTCAACATTGATACCGGCGCCTTTTCCGCAGAACTCGAGGATAATCTTGATCATGGAACCGAGGCCACAGTCTCCTCGTGAGAGTGCATCGTGGAGCTTCTTTGCCATTTGATCGGCATCAACTTTACCACCACCATGGGCTTCCACGGTACTCTTGACGCGTGCAGAGAACACCTTGAAATCGGGGACCTTGGGGGCGGTGCCCTTAGGAGGCTGAGCGGGAGGAGCAGGAGCAGGAGCATCACGGGCATTGACGGGGGAATGGCGGAGGGACTGGTCACCACAATCCTCTATAGGATGGTTAGCTTTGACCTGGCACTCAATATTTATTGATTTGGTATCAGATGCTGGACATACGCTCATACTTCGCACATTGTGGGTTGGACTGGCCGGTGCTGGAAACCTCTGCAAGGCAGGCCATCAACAAGTCGGCACATTCACTGACGGAATTCTCGGCTCTGGCGACATGGTCAACTGCTCGTGCCGAAGTAAGAGCCGCAAACAGCGGCAGGATAAAGTAGGCGGCCTTCATTTTGAAGGATGCACAGGGTCAAGAGAGTGAGATGGTGTAACGAATGTCAGCTAAAGAAGGAAAGACTAAAACCCCAAGCTCAACAAGGGAGTATTAAAGAATGACAGACAAGAAACTTGAAAGAGAGTGAGAGAATGTGCAGTGGGACAGCCGACTGATGGGATGTGAAGAAAGGAAAGGAGAGAGAAGAATCAGGCATCGGGTTGAAGACCTTGTCGAGATTTATATACCCTTCCGTCAGGGGGATATCTGCTCTCCCGCGACAGTCCACAGTCCACACACAGTCCACGAGTCCACTTCCAACTTGCCCCTGACATCTGACATCAACCATCTCATCCGAGCTGCCCGAGGGTCTCTTCTCCACGCGGAATTTGTGCCTTACCCTACGGAGCATTATATATCACTATTTGAGCCTATCCTGGCCGTCTATGAGGAAACATGCTGTCGCTTCCCTACGGTTCCATGAACGTCTGCTCATCCACACTAGTAGTAAGAGCTACTACACCTAGTACTGTGAAAAAAAAAAAAG